GGCGGGAGGGAGGAGCGCCTGCGGCGGCAGTGTGGCTCCCCTCCCTCTCCCTCCCAAAACCCTAACCGACTGTGCTTGAGAGCACCAGATCCAGTGGGAGGGAGGGGCAACGGTGGCGGCGTGGCTAGAGGTGTGGCGGCCGTGCGACTCCTCTCGCCTCCCTCTCCCTCTCCCTCTCCCTCTCCCTCTCCCTCCTAGATCCGGTAGGGGAAGGGCGTCAGAGGCAGCGCGGCTGGAGGGGAGGGCGATGGCGGTGCAGCTCCCCTCCCTCTCCCTCCTAATACCCTAACCGACTGTGCTCGAGAGCACTAGATCCGGCACGGGCGGTGCTCTTCCCAAGCGTGCGACAGTGTCGACGGCTGAGGGTTGCGACAACGACGACGCCAGGCAGCATCCACGGTCAGGCTCGGCTCCCGGCCTCCATCTCCTACTGCTCCTCCAGTCCTTTTCCCTTCCCTCCCAGATCTAGTGTGCGATGCAATTTGTGAATTTGGAATCGAATTTGTGAATGTGAATACTATGAAAGTTTTGTGATTAAACTTGGGGTTTGATTGAGATTCGATGCCTGGATGAGGAGCAGTGTACGCTGCGGATTTTTTTTATCACTGAAAAATGATTTTTTCAAGCGGACTGTATAACCAAGCCGCATACTAAAATTGATTTTTCCAGGCGGACGATATAACCTGGCCACCTGGAATGTTGATTTTCGCAGGCGGTCGAGACGTTCGACTGCGAAAATACCGGATTTTCACATGCGACGTGTCTGGCAGCTTGCGAAAACCTTTTTTAGCCGCCAACGAAAATGATTTTTCTAGTAGAGTACTACTAAAGTTAAAAAACAAAAAGATAATCGCAAACCTAGGGCGGGAGACCGGGACTACTACTCCACGAGGTACCAATGGTCAACAATCTGTATCATGCCTTCATATGCATCTCCCTCCCATAGTCTGCCTACGTCATACAACACGTTGCGTGGTTACTGCAGACGTCATGCGTTTCTGCACTTTAATTATTATTACTACGACTCTTCCATCTCCGTCTCTCCATCCTCTTTCCCGGATCCTGCTTTGGATTAATTAATAAACTCATTAACAAGGCAAATAAAAACGCAAAGCGATCGCATTAGCCCCCAGTTGCATGCGCTTCTGACTTGGATCGCAGCTTCTGCAAAAGCTCATGATCATATGCCGGGCTTTACTTAGCACTTGCACAAGTTGAGCTGCACTATCCATCAGATTTGACTTATCTCCTAGCTCCCTCATAAAGTACCACTAGTTAATAAGAAATTAAGTATTTTTATAAACGAAATAAAGAAATTAAAGATGCTCAAATCAAATCGATACGGCCTTGATACACTCTAAAATATACTTTTTTTTTATGATTTTCCTTAAAACACAATGCAAATACAAACGCTTTGTTGAAATTATAAGCACATAATAATTTAATTTATTCCATAAATAAATCATGACATTGCAGATGTAAATTAGATTTAACGCATCATTAGATCTACACATGTAAACTAAGCAGTAAAACATGAATAGATCAAATATGTGCAACATGTCGAACACGTACCGAGGTGACGGAAAGACCGGTTGCTCGGCAACTCGCGGTTTCGGGCGTCGACGAAGGCGCGCAGCACGCGAGCGGAGAGGAAGACGAGCGTCGTGGACGAACAGGGAGCAGTCGCGCGAAGCGCTTCCCAAAAACCTTATTGCCGCCTTCTCCCGGTGCAGGACGTCGAAGGCAGAGGTTCCGGAGACCTGCTCTCCTGATCGCCGGTGCACGCCGGCGAACGGGATGGAGTAGTCTACGAGCGACGGCGCAGTACAGAGTAGTAGGCAAACTCTAGATTGATTTCGCGTGTGTTGCATGAAGGCGGCGGCTCGGTTTATATAGAGATAGGTCGCTTGATCAGAGTGCCCACGTAACCAAACCGGATAAGTTGCGTGTAATTTATCCATACTCCACGCTGTTTTCACGCACCGGATTTTTCGGAATGTTTCCAAAACAAAACAAATCCGAATTTCCTGCAGCAAAACAAAACTGCAAAAGGAGGCTGCATCTGCGCAAGGGTGAGGAGCCAATTTTGCGGACCATTCGACGCGTACGTCGTGCACGCGCCGCCTAACCTGCCAGGCGAGCGAGCGCGCACGTGTGTTTCCCCTCTTCTCTCCATCACACATGCTTCAAGTGGCTAGGAGGGCATCCTCCCTTTTAAGGAGGTCCCCCTCTCCTAGAATAACCAAGGTGGTACTAAACTGCACATGCATGTCATCCCATGAAGTGGGCTTTTGTGATTTTCCAAAGAATTAATCTTCGAATGGGCCTTAGCCCATCTATTAATTCCAACACGCTTATATTCACATGCGTACACCTACATCTTAGTCCTATAAACATCTCAAAAAATTAAAGGTATACCTATATTTATGGTGCCACATATTTAAAAATAATAGTCAAATTGGTTTTACACTATGATTTGCCTACACTTACATTTGAGTTATGCTCAAATTTCATGTTTGTCTTCTAATTATATGCAATATTGAGAATATCATTCAAAAAAAATAATTTCCATGCCATGCCAATTCTACTAATGTTATTCTAAATATCACATCCAACTATATCTTATGTATTAGTGAGTTAAGATTTTGAAATCTGATTACGCACGTTCTTAAACGTTTCTTCGGAAAAAAAAACTACATCTAAATATTAAATAAGTAACAGGAAGTATCTTACTTAGCCTAGCTAGGTAGGTGTATTATATTCTCGTAGGCCCTAAAAAGGATTGGTTAAACAAAATCAACTTGATAAAAGCGATACATACATGCACTTGCAAAGAAGGGACAATGCACAGAGTGAGGAAATTGCGCGGTCAATGGCTAATCAAGCTTTAGCTTTAGTTGACCTTGACCCTACCACTATTTTAGGTCAGCTTCACAATCCAATTCAGACACTGTTCCTTGTCTAAGGTTCTCATTTCGAGGTATACGTTTCATTGATTTCTCTTGTTTGTATTTAGTTGGTGTAGCACGTTGTTTTTTGGGAGGAGAGTGAGTGTTGAATTGTTTTTGAAACAATTGAGAGGATGTTGAATTGTGATTAGGGCCAATTAAGGACTTTGTTGTAGCTCTTGGCTTCTAGCTGCAAGTAAGATAGCTGACCGGTTCAGCACTATGACAAATAACAACTAAAGTCAATGGTTAAGTTCATGGACTGTTGAGGCAAAATTGTCAAACAGAGATAAGAATCAAACAAATGTGAACTACTCCTACTTCATCTGGACAAAAAAAAAATTGCCATTTTATATGTAGTTGGAGTAAAACTTTCAAAACTTCAACCATCAATTTTTTTTATCAGTTATATTTTCATGACACTAGTGTTACAATTTGATCTACGTTTGAATATACTTAAAGAAATTGGTGGTCAAAATTCTAATAAAATTCCTGACCGGAGTGGGTATACTAATCAAAGAAAGCACATGGAACCTCTGACCCCAATAAACAAGTAATCAAAATCTGACCCCAATAAACAAGTAATCAAAATCAAAGCAGCTGCTAGCAGCACACATATACTATTTATCTTAAAAGTGGATGCCCCAAATGGAGATAATCATGATGGTTATTCTCTTTTTAATTATGCACATCATGTTTCTAGGAACCTCTCGCCACAAGTTTCAAAGGTTTGACTTTGAAGGCAAGTCACATTACACATCTCCACTCTCCTACCAAAACATGAAGAAAAATTAAAAAAATACATATAAAATTGTGGAGTGGTGAGTATTCTATCCTCGTTCCAAAAGTCCACCCGTTCAATAACGGGGATCCCACCATTTGGTCATGGGTGCTCAATTTGATGCAACTTTTACAACCAAAGCACAAAATTCTTCTGAAATTATAAAGGGTAACCATGTGAGCAAAGTGCAGCGTTGCTTGAGTTTAAAAAAATAGAGGCAAATACGATACATAAAACAACTAATTCATCTAACAAGGATTTTTTTCATTGGAGAAAAGGGACGAGTGAATCTTTTGGTGTTTTTTTTTTGAAAAAATAAAAGTCTACAAGACCGCGTATAAAGAACACATACAATAAACATGTGCTCCAACCTTGTACCGCCTAAGCAGCGTAAGCGGTCGACTATACCATATAAGCGTCCAATTATGCCGCCTAAACGCTACAAGGTGGGGGTGACAGCATGAACCGCATACCGCTTATCAAAACATTGTTCAGTGTGCTCCAACCTTATACCACCCAAGCAACGTAAGTGGTTGACTATTCCATATAAGTGTCCGATTGTGCCGCATAAGCGCTAAAGGTGGGTGACCGTATAAAATTGTGTATCGCATTTAAAATATTATTCAATATCTTATCATCATGATTGATCGACGGTGGAAGACAAAATGTTATTTCCTTAAGAACAATTCGGTGTCAAATCTTTCCAAAAATAATAATGTAAGGACTAATGTGTACTAAAGAAAAGTATAAAGTTATAAAATAAAAAGGACGGTAAAAAAAATCCATAATAACAACAATTTGAAAACAATATCATTTCATAGTTAGCAAAAACAAATTTAAGCTATGAATTTCCAAAAACAAGTTCTAGTTACGTGGCAAATTATTAATGCCACATTTCCTTTTGGAAGCCATTCAACGTGCTTTATCAATAAAAAATATAGTTACATTGTTCACTAGAATGCTTAGTAAAAAAAATAGAGGTTTCATCAACCCAGTTATAACAATTCTTCAAATCAAAAGGCACATTTAGCTACAACATATGTCATCCAATTGTCTATGCTCCCAATTTTTATCCAACAGAGAAAAAAAAATCCTCACATTTATCAAAACGTGCCAAAATGAAATTCCCATCTTCCTCAAGGTGCTAAACATAAAAAAGGATAGAAAAAGATAAACCACCTCATTGACTTCCCTCGCGTCTATCCAACTCCTCTTCGTCTTCCTCCCTCCCCAGTCCCCACCACCATTTCCACTTATAAAACCCATCTCCCCCACCCCAACCCCGTTCCCACCTCACAATCTCACCCTCAACTCACCACCCAACCCAACTCAAGCACCTCCTCCTCCTCCACCGGCAAACGCAGCAGCGGCGCGCGCGCTCTCGCCTCCGTCTCCGGCGACCCATGGCCGTGGACCTCATGGGCTTCAGCCCGCGCGGCGGCTGCCGCCCGTCCGTGGAGACGGAGCAGCTCGCTTTCCAGGAGGCCGCCGCCGCGGGGCTCCGCAGCCTCGAGCTGCTCGTCTCGTCGCTCTCCGCCGGGGGGGAGCACCACCACCGCCGCCGCCCGCAGGAGAAGCAGTCTTCGCCGCCGCTGGGGGAGATCGCGGACCAGGCGGTGTCCAGGTTCAGGAAGGTGATCTCGATTCTTGACCGGACCGGCCACGCCCGCTTCCGCCGTGGCCCTGTCGTCGGAGCGGCAGCTGCGGAGGCGGCTGCCGCGGCGGCGTCGGCGTCACCGTCGTCGTCTCCTGTCTCGCCGCCTCTCCCGCCGGTGACGACGCAGCCGGCGGCCGCCGTGAAGAGCCTGACGCTGGACTTCACGAATCCCGCCAAGGTCGCGGCGGCGTCGGTGACCTCGACGTCGTTCTTCTCGTCGGTCACCGCCGGCGGAGACGGCAGCGTGTCCAAGGGCCGGAGCCTGGTCTCCTCCGGGAAGCCCCCGCTCGCCGGCGGCGTCAAGCGCAAGCACCCGCACCCGCCCTGCGCCGCCGCCGGCGACGGCCACGGCCACGGCGCAGGCCACGCGCACGCGCACGGCGGGTGCCACTGCTCCAAGAAGCGGAAGCAGCGGGTTCGGCGCACGGTGCGCGTGGCGGCGGCGAGCGCGCGGGTGGCGGACATCCCCGCCGACGAGTACTCGTGGCGCAAGTACGGGCAGAAGCCGATCAAGGGGTCCCCCTACCCGCGCGGCTACTACCGGTGCAGCACCGTCAAGGGTTGCCCCGCCCGGAAGCACGTCGAGCGCGCCGCCGACGACCCCGCCACCCTCGTCGTCACCTACGAGGGCGACCACCGCCACTCGCCGCCGCCGCCGCCGCTTGTTTAATTAATTAATTAGCAAAAATCGTTAGCCCCTTGTGTAAATGAGTTTTTACTTTTTACTGCTGCTCCTACTACTGGTTGTACTAATATTAAATGAGAAAGCAAATTTTACCGAGCAAAATCTTAATCGTTTGGTTGAATTTTCTTTTGCCGAGCTCTGTGGGGAAGTCAAAGTGGGGCAATAAATTCCGCTTTAATTGTGGTGTCGGGAGGTGGGGCCCACATGTCTGGCCGGATGAGGATGATTTCACTGGCGCTGGTCAAAGGCGCGGGTGAGCGGTCGCTTTCGTCGTCTCGTCCCAATGGGCTGACCGCGGCCCGCTTCGCTTTAATTTGCGCGTTAAATAAAGAGTGGGGCCCACGGGAGAGGAGAGGGGGGCCCGGATGCTTTCAACGCCTCGGTTTCTTCGCCTGCTTTTCTTGGCCACATCTCTCGCACAGCCCGTTGACTTTTACAGCCTCCAAATCTATGCGTATTCTCTCGGTCTCCGAATTGCTTTCGGCAAAATCACGCGACAGTTTAACTTTAGTGGTGATTATTTCGTTCGGCAATTAACTTTGCGACGAACTTTCTATCATGGTACTGGTGTTCAAATTTTAATTTTTTGTTTTAAGCCTAAATTTATTTATACGACAGAAATCATACGTAAAATCTATAGTATCATACAATCCCAGTACTATCTAACAATATCTCAATTAAAAAAAAATAGACAAATTTATGAGTATCACCTCTCGAGTAGTATATGACCAATGTTCAAAAAAAAAAAAGCAGTATATGACCTAAAATATGTGCTATGCAAATTCTTCTAGAAATTGGATGCCCTTGATCATATAACATCGTGTGTGTTTACTATGTTCATATTAGTTCATATTAGTGGAGCAAGAACAAAGAGAGGAGGAATAATAAAGGGGGTTACAAACTTACAATGAAGTGTTAAGTAGAAGGAAATAAAAGGTTATAACTAAATACCATCATGGCTCCAATAAGACAATTATGGATGTGTTCTTCCCCTATTTCCCCAACTTCTATTCCATTGTTTTCCATGTAAGTTATTTTAAAAATTATATTAATTCATTTTTAGAGTTCTTTTTACTTATTTTAATTAATTATGTGCTAATGAGCCACCCCATTTTGCATGTGAAGTGGAGAAGTTGCCAACTTAATGAAAAGAACACAGCCTATATTACTATGCAAGGACTTATTACTCTGTAGTGGTATTTAGAATGGTATTCTAGCCGTAGACTTTAATCCATTACTTGGAAACAATGACCACCAAGCACTTTTTGGGTGTTAATTATAATTTTGCAAAGACAAGACTTTGTCTAGCTTGTAAACAATGTCACATTTGCCATGAACATGCATACTTTTGCTTGCTTTTCTTTCATGATGTACTCCCTCCGTTTCACAATATAAGTCATTCTAGCATTCTTCACATTCATATTGATGTTAATGAATCTAGATAGATATATATGTCTACATTCATTAACATCAATATGAATATCGGAAATGCTAAAATGACTTACATTGTGAAATGGAGGAAGTAGAATAGAACTAGACAATTTTGTTCATGATGTTGCCCTATAGTCTGACCCATAATCTACTCGACCTGTTTCTTCAATAAGTACATGCAGATATAATGTAAGTTCCTTTCAAGTGGATGTCAAGTGGGCTTCCCTAGTCAGAATAAAGGAATCATAATTAAGCATTTATTCTTGGAACATATCTTATCTTTTGTTTAAAGCCATATGACTTGACTAATATCTAACCTCGCTTCCTTTTTTTTGTGGGGTCGTGCAAACACATAGGTTTTCTTTTTTGTTGTTTGTTTCACACCGTTTGTGATAAGATGTACTACAAACCTAATAATAAATTAAAGTATATCAATATTGATTATATATATATATATACATATGTATATATATATATATATACATATGTATATACATATATATGTATATATATATATACATATATATGTATATATATATATACATATATATATACATATATATATATATATAGAGCAGGTTTTCTATTCAACTAGCTTAGCAAATTGACCCTATTGCACGTGGGAACAAAGTCAAGTCAATATAACGAGTGCGTTCTTCACAATTTTATCGAGTGCAATCAAGCCTAATGGAAATTCAGAATAGACCTTTCAAATTGACGATATTGGTGGATAAATACATTCCGTATTAATTAAAGGCGTTGTTTTGAAGAATGTTACTTAGGTATTGTGTTTTCATTTCGCTCGAGCAAAGTGTCGCAACACGATCGTGAGGCATGAGATGTCATTTTCGAGCTATCTTAAGATATATCTTAATAATATCTTAGATAATCATGATTCGGAAATGCAATTTTCGATAGTCATACAGTCTGAATTGTGAAGTTTGGTTTGTGCCGTGCTAATCACCTACAATTTTCATATATATGATTGTGGGAGTCCAATGGTTCTTTTACCTAGGATTTCTTATGAAATACGACCAACCTACTTAGTTTTCAAAATTGGCACCAAATCATTACAGGCAACCAACAATATAATATTAGCTATATGTAAAATATCTTTACAGACGGGCAAAGAACATTTTCCCTGACGGGCTTCATTACGTAAAATCATTTTCGCATGTGGCTAGGCTACGCTGTCCACCAAAAAAAAAAAGTCTTATAGTCGGCACGTGGTTGGTGGCTGCCAATGAAAATGGTGTATTTTCTTTGGCTATTAGTCGCTAGCGGCATTGCCGTCGCAACCAGAGGAAACTTTACCTGTTCGACTGAGATTCCGAGAATACCAAATAGGTTTAACCAAGCTAGGTGATGAAGTACAATTAATTAGTTGGACCATCCCAACAATTATGATAAATGTGGGCTCTGTGGAATACTCTGAACAAATATTTTCGAATTTTAGGTTGTTTGACTTTACACTCATGATTATATCAATTTTCTGACTTTACAAATATTTGTTTTTTACACAATTCTAAGCATAACATGTTCATTACGGCCTGACTGGCCTCTTCCTCGTTCAAGTTAATTAACTACATGTAGTAATTAAGTTGTTCGATCACTGGAAAGAACATGCCAAAGTACTGCTTCTAGATACGAGATTATTTCGCGAAAGTTACTTTAGCTTCTGGTATATATGACCACCTCTGAACATGCTTAATTAGACCAGAAGATGCCCGTTAAATAATTTTCGTGAAATTGGAATAAATTAAAGCTTTGCCCTCCCATTGACCCAACTTGGTTCCCACGTGTGGCATCTCATATTCTTGTCAGACCAATTGCACTAAGTCAGCAACCTTAAAAGAACAGCTAATATATATTCAAATATTAAGAAGCTTTAGTTTTTTTTTTAACACATCTCACCAGCTAACAGTGTGAACACTCATAAAAATATCTTTCTGTTCTTGTACAATAGTACAAAAGAAGAAGAAGGCATCAACGGTGTCTTTGGTGACAATCAAGCTGGGGCAGATATTAGTCAACTCTTATATTGCTTAAACAAAAAGACGACTTTCAAAAGTCCAATGCTTTTGATTTTGTTGATATACGCATGTTCTGACTAAGCATGCAACATGTCAAAGTAAGCACCCCACTATATGGAATCTCTCAAGCGGTCAACTTTGTTGGTTTTCTGATGAACTACCAAAGTTAGTTTTTGCTACCATAATGTCAACAGTTAATAGTCATTTACATTTACAATATGCTCTAAGGTTAGCGACTCGGTCAGTTGGTGAATAGGATTACTGCAAAATAGCGGTTGTGTAAATGGATTGATCCGTGAATCCACCAACGTGTTACTCACTTATTCATTTATTTGGTCTATAATTAGGTTGACGGGTTAGCCCAATTACACCTCTAATAGAGATACTCTTTCTGATGATCATAAATATATAAATATGTGACGTTTAGAATAAAATTCGATCGAATTGTTAAAGATTTGACCATCAATAATTTCTCAAATCCTAAGTTTAAAAAATAAATAATGGTACGAGTGATTTTTTCTGTAAAAGTACTTCCACAATACACAATACCATAAACTTCTTAGATTCTATAAACTTGTTATAATGTAAAATTAATGGTAAGAGTTTTAAAAATCTGATCAAATCATCCTAAATGTTAAATATTTACGGCTAAAAAGAGTATTTTGGGTACAACTTATAAATAGCAGCCACATAATCAATATAATTTAAAAATAATAATTTTAGTAAAAGATTTAGCTGTTATTAAAAACTAAAGCTAAGTTAGCGTATATTTGAAATATGATTTTTTTATAGAAAACCTCTAAAAAACAGTTTCTACTCCCTCCCTCCAAACAAAGACAAACCCTGGATTTCCGTGTCCAACGTTTGACTGTCCGTTTTATATGGAATTTTTTTATAATTAGTATTTTTATTGTTGTTAGATGATAAAACATGATTAATACTTTATGTGTGAATTGTCTTTTTAATTTTTTTTATAATTTTTTTAAATAAGACAAACGGTCAAAGTTGGACACGGAAACCTAGGATTTGCTTTTTTTTTCGAAGGAAGTAGTACAATTTAAACTGGCTTCTGTTTGGTTCAAAATGAATAGGAGTAACTCCAATGGACCACATATGATACGAGGCTGAAGCAGAGCAGAGGGCGGTTGGTGTCGTCGAGTTTAATGGTGCCTAGCTTTCCGTTGAAGAGTCTGCATCGACGCAATCACTACTCCGTACAAAAAAAAAAAGTTAAACCCTGAATTTTCATGCCAACGTTTGACTGTCCGTCTTATATGAATCTTTTTTATAATTAGTATTTTCATTGTTGTTAGATGATAAAACGTGATTAATACTTTATGCGTGACTTATCTTTTTAATTTTTTTCATATTTTTTTCAAATAAGACGGACGGTTAAATGTTGGACACGGAAACTAGGTTTATCTTTTTTTTTTTTTTACATAGGGAGTACTCATCATCCAGAGGAGGCGAAAGTCTCTCTCTGATTCGTGGATGGATCGCCGGAATAATGGCGTCAGAGGGAGGGGTTGAGTGAATGCAGAGAGGCGACGACGGGTCAGGTCGATCATTTCATCAGCTGCCACCGGCGGGCCGGACTTTGTTGGCAGCCGGCAGCCGCAGTGCAGTGATGGCGAGCTGACCGCGAGTGGTGGTTAGT